TTCTAAATCCCTGATTCCGAGACAAATTCCGTGTAGGGTTGAAGAAAACTGGCGCTGGTTGAAATAGGCTATACCCACATGAGTTGAGTGGATTCTTTTGTTGTGCAATATATGTTCTGTTATAATAAATACATTGAGTACATTGAGCTCTCTTTGTGGATCAGTTTTAATATTTGATATTACTAGGATCCACCTGGATTATATACCAACAGATCTATATACACACACACATATATATATATATATATGTGTGTGTGTGTGTGTGTGTGTGTGTGTGTGTGTAAAATGAGAACAAATGAAGTATAATTCCACTATACGTAACATTTTATTTAAAAGAGGCTTCAATACAAAAATCGTAAACATTGCTACACGATTATAATCATGTTTCAACACCATAAATTTATTTTGTTGAAACACGATTGTAATCGTGTAGCGATTTTTAACATGTTTTGTTTTAATATATATATACCGCCCTGTCCACACTCCTCCCCCTTCTCTTGGACATGAGTAGAGGCTTACGCCTTGTTTCTTGTTTAGGAAGGGGTTTCCGGTACTCTCTCTCTCTCTCTCTCTCTCTCTCTCTGTCTCTCTCTCTCTCACTGGCCTCTGTATCTCCAGTTGCCTCGATCTATCCACTACTCTTCTCCTCATCCTTTCTGCTATCACTCGTATCTGATCTTGCTCCAAATTTTCTGTAACCCCTTGCATCCTAGTGGCTTCCCGCCTTGTTTGGGGTGAAACGCTTAAAAATATAATATATATATATATATATATATATATATATATATATATATATATATATATATATATATCAAGGCGAAAGGCTCCCAGAAAACGTTATTAGAATCAAACTTAAATATTTGCATATAATGGCAGAAAATCAGTGAACGTAGGCATAAAAACTCTGTACGGAATTTAAGCTACGATTTTATTTTCTAACATTTCAACCAGTCGTATATTTATTGAATTCATTTCCATAGTACAGATACGTTCTCGATAGATATACATAACTCTTCAACGCCACGAGATCTCAAAAAAGATTTTTCAACCAATCGCTCGTGGCTCGAAATGTTTTTCGAAGAAACCTCCTTTATCCCCCTCCAAAAAAAATCGCACTTAAAACAAGAAATTCGGCAACAATTGAGTCATACTCAGTAGAGACGTCCGCTCGCATACAAAAATCTACGTTCATTGAAAACTGCCTTTCCCCTGAGGTGAAGGAAAGACAATACAAAATAAAATGGTTGCCGGCAACAGAAATCGCCTGTTATTTTCTCTCGAGTTCAAACAATACATTTCCTTTTTTCTTCTTCACGAACACTGTAAACTTGTAAGAAAATGAAATTCTCATATTCATATGAATATTCTCACTGGCAAAAAAAAGATATGATTTCTATGAACGCTTTCAATAACAGTGTGTTATACAGGGTGCGATGGATAAATTGTCGTCACAAAAAATATCTTGAAATACGAAAGAGTAAATTTATTCAATAAAATCGCCATTGGCTACAACCACGGCATCTAGACGACTTCGAAATTTTCTGCCACTATTCTGGACGGTCTCCTTGTTTAAGTTGGTGAATGCTACCATAGTTCTTGACATCAATTTATTTTTGGTGTTACAAGGAGTTTTGTTAGTCTCTCGCTCTACTGCAACCAACACGTAATAATCAAGGGGATAGCAGAAATTATCTGACAAGACTGGGTTCTCTTGCTTGTGTGGCTTGGTGCAGAGTCCTGTTGCCAGACATAGGGTCTTCCAGCAGTCACCCTCTTGATCCAGAGCAGCACTAGCTCCTCAAGTCATGTGGTAAACGCCTCCGTGTTGAGGCCCTGGGGAAAGATCACTGCAAACACCTTCGTAATCACCATTAAACTCATTCAACTCCTTTGCACTGTCCTCAGATTGACGCCCAAACACTCTGAAATGTTCGTATTGGAGTTTTCGGCGCAAATGCCAAGCAGTACAACATGCCGTTTCCAAATTTCTGGCGGAGTGAATTGTGCAAGTTTTTTTTTTTTTTTTTTTTTTGCAGAGGCGGTGCCCAACTGACCTTACTATACTGCACAGTCGATAAAATCAAAAACAAACAACACGCATGCGCAAAATTAAAAATATAAACTAGCAACAATTTACCCATCGCAACCTGCATAACAAAACTTACATCGATACAAATCAAAATGCACACGCATTTATCTATAAAATGTTTCTTGCACATAAGTTAAATAAAAGTTAAATTTTGCTTTTCTGTTAATCTGATTCATTGTTTTTCTTTACTTGTTTTGAGAAGTTACGCTACAAGCAGCAAATATAGAAACCAAATGTACCGCAGGTCGATGCGTAAATTGTACTTAGCAAGTCGAGTTAAGTTTTTTGTATTCCCTTTCGCACTGATGTCTTTGAGGAAACGCACGAATCTGTGTCTTTTTACACACCTCAGCTAAAGGATAAATACCAGAGTAGACAGGGCCTTCTAGCCTTGTGTGGTAACGTCTACTGAAAAGTTCATAGGCTGACCAAAGTACTGTTAAGGAATGTTACCAAATGAGGTTTATTTTTCAACATAGTCCCCCAATCCCTTGAAGTCCACAAACTTCTTCCATCGGTGCCGCAGTGCTTGAATGCCTCTGGTGAAGAAGATTTCATCCTGTTGGTTTAAAAGTCATGAGAATCAGATATGATGTCACTGTCACTGTGATACTGCTTCTCAGGCAAACGTTTATCCTGTTGGGGAACAGATGATAATCAGATGGGGGTTAAATCGAGAGAATAGAGAGAGAGAGAGAGAGAGAGAGAGAGTGATCAACCAGATAAAAGAGACGATCACGCACAGCTCCAATTGAAACTAATGACTTGTATGCTGGAGTATTTTCCTGATGAAACAAGACCACTTTCGTCAGTTTTCCTAGGGGTTTAGTTTTGATATCATTTCCTAACTGCGTCAGCAAGTTCGCATAGTACACTTCATTAATGGTGTGTTTAAGTTTTAAAGATAGTAAATAAATTCAATGCCTTTTGTATCCGCAAATATATATATATATATATATATATATATATATATATATAAACATACATACATATATATATATATATATATATATATATATATATATATATATATATATATATATAATATATATATAAGCAAGTGTAAATGGATATAAATCCGACAGAATGAAGAAAAAAATTTTGAAAAAACAAACAAAAATCCTTAAATGTAGTTAAAATGAAAGAAATGTCGACGTCTGACGTTTCGGTTTAATAAACCTTTTTCAAGACAATATTCATCAAAATACAATTCAGTTCAATATGACAAATACGATGGACATAAAAACACAAGTCTTTGTTTGGTCGCATCTTTTTACCAAATAACCATTTGACCGAACGTATCTCTCATAATCTAAATGCATTAAAAATTAGAACTACTATATTACCTACTAGGACTATCCGTAGTTTATTAAATAGCACCAGCAGACAACATATTACATCCGATGCTTGCATCTATCAAATATCATGCAAAAATTGTGACCTAAAATATGTGGGTGAAACAGGTAGGTCCTTAAAATCTCGTGTTTTCGAACATAAACGAGATATTCGTCTCGGTATTTAACAATGCTTTAGTTGTACACAAACTAAAGCAGATCATAATTTCGATTTCGATTCCGTAAAAGTATTAAAATATTTTCATAATAAAAATCTCAGGAGGATTTATGAAGCAGGTATAATATCCATCTCACGCACGGTGAATACTAGACCTGGTTTCTTTAATATTTCCTCTTTTTAGCGAGATTGATGCTCGTTAAGCATACACATAAGAATTTTAGAACCTAATAGAATTCTTTTTTCATTTTCTTTTCATTTCAAAATAATCACAAACTTTTAGGAATACGTTATGAAAGCGTCGCCCATGTGACGACGGCGTGACCATGTTAGACGGAAGGCTGATCATTTTAAAATTTTCAGTTATCTGTTCTGAATAAGACTTGTGTTTTTATGTCCATCGTATTTGTCATATTGAACTGAATTGTATTTTGATGAATATTGTCTTGAAAAGGTTTATTAAACCGAAACGTCAAACGTCGACATTTCTTTCATTTTAACTACATTTAAGGATTTTTGTTTGTTTTTTCAAAATTTTTCTTCATATATATATATATATATATATATATATATAAATTGATTCTCCCGTCGGGTTCGACGTATGAGGTTCAAGCAGATCAGTTTCCAGGAAACTGAGAGCCCGACACCGGCACATGAGATTTGATTATAGTGGTGAGGGCTTCGTGCAGGACCATCCACACTTTTTGAAGGGCTGAATACAGAGACCTGGTGCACTACATGCCACAAGGTTCCCAAGCAACCCTCCGCAGGTTTTGAATTCAGAGTTGTCCTTCTCCTAGACCAGTTGCCATCCAAGGCTATAGAACCCAGTCTGTCCTGTCCCCATATATATATATATATATATATATATATATATATATATATATATATATATATGAATAAAAATGACAATAGGAAAAGTTGCTGACGCATTTCGTCCAATGTGGAGTTTATCAATTAATTTCATTTTCGTATTTTGCTTTGATAAAGTCCACATTGAATCAAACGCGTCAGCAATTACTAGTTTTCCTATTGTCATTTTTATTCATATATATATATATATATATATATATATATATATATATATATATATATATATATATTTTATTTTTCGAGAGATGGTGATAAGTCCTTGGCTCGGCGCAATTCATAAAATCTCAAGAAATAGTCAAACATCAGAATTTTTTCGGTGGGGGGGGAGTGTTAAGAAACGGGCCAAGAACTTTTCAACACCTCTTCGCATTTCAGTTTTAATTACTTATCTAAATTTGCTCTGCTATAAACTGAATGTGCTAAATATATTCCTTTTCATCCCTCGTTAGATTTACGTTCCAATAGTGTAAGCAATGAAACTGGCTTACCGAAACTCTGTCTTATTGAGGTACCCTCTTACCTTCCTTCACCAGTCACTCTGAACAGGCGAGTGGGATAGACGAACACACTTGGTGACCTTGGGCGTATAATAGATAGATAGATAGATAGATAGATAGATAGATAGATAGATAGGAAACTGATAATGAAAAAGAAAAGAAAGAAAGAAGGAAAGCAAAGATAGATAGATAGATATATAGATAGATAGATAGATAGATAGATAGATAGATAGATAAGAAACTGATAATGAACAAACTGAAAGAAAGAAAGGATAGATAGATAGATAGATAGATAGATAGATAGATAGATAGATAGACAGATATGAAAAATAATGATGAACAGATAGATAGATAGATAGATAGATAGATAGATAGATACGAAAAATTATGATGAACAGAATTATAGATAGATAGATAGATAGATAGATAGATAAGAAACTGATAATGAACAAACTGAAAGAAAGAAAGGATAGATAGATAGATAGATAGATAGATAGATAGATAGAAATGTCTTAAATGCCGTTTTGTATCGGACCATTTTTAGAACTTATGATCGCAAATAAAAAAAGACGTGCGAAATGCACGTAGTTTTCTATCTTCCTGCTGCCAGCTCCAATTTGTCTGTTTCTCAACGTATTTCTCTGACTTTCAGCAATGCGATGAGTAGGCGGCTATTGCATATTGACTGAGTAACCCAGCTTCAGGTTAATACACTGGAATGGTTCTATAATTATCTTCATTGTTATCTGAAGTATTCTCCTATATAAATTGTGCTTGGATGCATTCATGTTGCATATTCTCCAAGAATTACTCGCGATTGTTAAGGTTAATTCAGAAGCCGCCAGACATCTTTCTTTTTTTATTTTCTTTCTTATTTGTTAATTTTTTTGATTGATAACATATTAAATGATAAAACACTAGCGAACTACCGAGAAAGTCATTCTGATTCCGCCATTTTGTTTTGTTTTGAAGTTTTTTTATTAACTTGTGGATAGGTACTGGTACTCTATAGATCTATCTTATATGTAACATGTTTTCTTTGTTTTGTTTTTTAAATCGGTTTCATCCCATGCAAGGCAGTAAATTTACTAAAACACAATGGGTTAGAGGGTATTTAATACGTAGGACAGAAACATTAATAATGAACGGAAGGAGAAAAGAGTAATAAGTAGGACTGTGGATAACGGTTGACATTGCATTTAAACTTTTGCAGATTAAGGTTGGCTGGAAAGCATGGAATTCGAAAGGAGTTCCACAGGCGAGAAGTGCGAGAAAATAACCTGTTAGCATAGAATTTGCGGCTACATCTAGCCAGCTAAAATATAAATTGATGAGATCACGACACCAGTCTTGTACTGCGCCCAAGTTCAAAAGGTCTAGGCACCATAACGAAGAACGATATTTATTCCGCATTATTTACAAAAATGTGGCGCAAGGCCAAAATAGGGAATGGGGAAAAGGACGGTCTTCAGTCTTAACATTAAACTGACCCAAACATACTACAGTATTACTTACACCAAAAGGAAACATTCTTACTTATTATTCTTACAACAACCACCATAATACCTCATTGTCTCTATGAAAATCCTAATTAGTCCCCATATGTAGAATTCATGTCTGTGGCGGGGACGGAAATAAAATAATTCAATAAATATTTACAAATATAAAACAAAACTATTTACAAGAAAATAAACAAACTAGTGTTAGTAATAAACAAAAAAAAAACACAGTTCTTAATAGTGGCTGAAACATCAGTTACCTGGACGAAATCAATGCGAGACTTTCTTAAAACATATAAACCACTTATTCGTCCAAATACACACTCAAACACATACTCATTCAAACACAACAACAAATACGAAAATCACACCCGAAACGAAAGGCGCCCTACATCCATTAGAGAACAGGCGTCTCTGATTACCTAAACGAGGGAGGGATGGGAATTAAACCCCTAAATTAAAAAGGAGGACAAAGCGAAAATAAAAGTATAAATCCCAGTGTTCAAAGTAGTGTGAATATCCTGATGCCCCCGGCATAAATTAACTTGAAAGAAGAAATTCACCCACCTTTTGTCAAATTAAGGATAAAGCGAAAATCTAAACTAGTATAAATCTGGAAAGAAGTTAACTTCGCCCCAGGTTATGAATGGTCCAATGTTCAAAAGCAGTGTGAATATCCCTTCGTCAACAGCCTAATTTCCGGCATCAAAAATGATACTCTAGGTCACAGGGCCCCTTTTACTCGACACAAACGCAAAATATTCACCCACCTTTTTCGCCAAATTCTGATGGAGGGAGGCAAACCGGTCCTTTGATCGAGTTCCTGTTTCTAACCTTGACTTTAAGCTGATGCTAAAACACATGATACAAATGCCTGAACGTTAAAGAGGCCATTGTCTGAAAGAGGTGTTTCAGTTAATTCATGATAGGAGGAGGACTTCTCGGGGCCCCCGAGTGCACGCCTCTCAGAGAATTCCTTCTGATGAATGGTCCCAAATCATATTCGATCTCGCGATCGAAGTAACGACCGGAGTAAGTAAAAGAACACCTAGTGTTCCCAGCCTTCGTCACCACATTTCGGTAACCAGACGCCGAGTATCACCGGTTTCCAGAGGAATATTTTCTGAACAGACTAACGGTTGACGCGAACCCCTGATGCCTTCAATAAATTTGGCCTGAGATGGTACACCAGGTACCACGGGACTAGATTCGTCTTTAACCTGCCTGCAATGAAAGAAAACAATCTTGACGTGAATGGAGCACAGGGTCTCCCCCTTCCTACCACAGCGAACGCAGTTTGAAAGATTTCTCCGGCCGCCGAAACGACAGCCTCCAAAAAAATCGCCCACCGAGCAAAATTTTTCGCCGACCCAGAAGACTCTGCCTGTAGCTTTCATCAGACTAGAGAGGACAGCCTGCAAACGGTTGGCATCCAGATCGTTATAGGCCGAAAGTTACCTATCCCATCCCACTGTTCTTGTCCTTGTGATTCCTCATCGTTATTGAGGCATTTCAAAACCATCGGTCGCCCAAGGCCATATTGATCGGGAGTATCCTGCTTCGGAAAATTCGGCTAAATAAGGTCGAACTGAGCTCATCAATCAGATAATCTCCGATTACGGATCCCGATATGTCGCTGACATACTAACACGCATTGATATAATTCCCCAATTCAACTACAATGCCTGAACGTTAAAGAGGCCATCCTACGTCTGTAAGAGGTGTTTTATCAAAGAGTATGAATTTAATATGACATTCATGATTCTAGGAGGAGGACTCGAACTTTATCTTACCAGGTGGCTAAACCAGGAATTGTTTGGGTTTTAAAAATCTTATTTACACGGGGCCTCCTCCGCACAACGTTTGACTGTTTTTCACGCCTCTCAGAGATGGGAAGTTCTTCAGGGCGTCTTTCTTTCAGAAGGCGCCCTCCCCATCCAAATCGCTAGTGGTTGAACTTGATATTCGATCTAGGAACGCGATGCGAAGTGTTTAAATAAATTGACGAAAAGAATGGAAGCACGGAGTAGTCGGTAATCGATTCATACAAGGAGAATCGGGTAGATGTGCATCCATTTCTCATAATGTGTCCCAGATCAACATACTTCCGCTCTCCACTTTATAGGAAAAATCTCTGTTTCCTCCATCTGGGACCACAGACGAATTGGGATCCCAACGCCTTCTCTTTGTTTTTGTTTGTACCTCCGACCAATTATTTACTTATTTTTCTAACTTTTCCATTTTCCATATGGAAATATTTGTCTTCCGTGGATCGAACCAGACGCCGAGTATCTTGACCGGTCCGTCCGTCCAGAGGAATGGTCCGGGAAGAGAAACTTCCTTTCATGCACCGAACAGACTTATCACGGTTGATCTTGGCCCAAGTGACGTCTCATACGCCCTGATTTCTTTGCTTATTTCGCCAATCTGATTTTGCTCTGCTCGACACAAGTACCGTCAAACATCATCAGCATGGGCAGAATACCTGGCCCGAGATGAGATGTAATTATTTATAGATAAACACCAGGTAGGAAAATTTTAGACGTAATTATTTATAGATAAATGAGTGATATATAACCTGATTCGTCATAAACGAAGAGTATATATATATATATATATATATATATCCAGACAGTACTGGACTTGATTCGTCTTTAACCTGCCAAGGAACGAATCAGCCAAATGTAGCGGTTCCAAAGAAACGCAATCTAACGAACGTAAATTGCAAAAAAAGGAGAGATGGTCGGAATATACAGCGATGATGGACTTGACGAATGGAATGATTCCATCAGGACAAAATGAACAAGATCCGATCGTGGATTTCAACACCACCCCATTCACTTCCACCACCGCACAGGGAGACGCATCCAGTCGCCCAAATGTCGGATCCTGGTGCATAAAGATTATCAAAAATTCTTCAAATGATGAACCGGCCGCCTTTAAGAAAATCAGCCTGTACCAACAGATGACGTAATGTTATCTTGTTCAACCTCCCTTCAAAAAGTCGATGGTTCACCATAAATCAAAACGTGCCCCAAATACAGTTATGTTGACTGATCTAAAATTGATTGAACAAAGGAAATTCGCGGTTTCATCATTGTCGTCCCTTACTTACTCGATGATCAAACCTGGCACCATACGAAGGTTGGTCCATGAATAGTCCTGCCCTTTTGGACAGAGAAAAACACAAGCCTGTTCGGAGCATTTCATCAGACTAAAGAGAATGGACAGCCTGCAAACATACTGAGCTGTTGAATAGGATGTCTAAAATTATGGCTAAGATCTTATTGTATATAATCTTTAACTCTGTATTTAAGATCGTTATAGGCCGAAAAAAAAATAAGTTTTTTTACCTATTCCCATCCCCATGAGACTGTTCTTGTTTTAGTCCTTGCGTAAAAATATGATCACATCCCTATATATATATATTAAAGGTGAAGCGTTGCGACATTTCCATTTTGATTTAAAAGGAAATAATTGTTTATGTTTACCCCTTTTTTGAGAAGTTTTATTTTTAAGAAAATAACTCAAAAATCCAATCCAGTTGTTGATAATCATATTTTAAAATGCCAACAAATGAACAAAATGGTCGTTCTCTTTAAAATATACGCTTTTCCCCTCATTGAATAACTATAATCTAATCATATATATATATATATATATATATATTTATATATATATATATAGTGGGTAAAAAGTATTTAACACATCTAACCCAGAGAATTTAACCCAGGAAATATTTAAACGAACATTGTCTGAACTTCCACTGTTTTGAGAAACACTTGTTAATAATAAATTAACCCAAAAGTATTTCCGACTCTGTAATGGGACCCTCGATATGATGATATGTCGACCCAGCCGCTTCGACATTCAATTGGAAAATTCGGACTAAATAAAGGGTCGAACTGCGCAAGAAGTTCAGACCAAGGATGGTAAGGGATATAGAATAATCGTTCAAGATTTGAATTTGAACAAATCCTATTGAAAACAATCAAAGTATATGCACCTGCTTAAATGAGTCACGATCCGATTATCCGGCAATGTGACGAACGATATATCACTGAATCGTCGGTCTGACATACATTCCGCCGACATTTCCTCTGCAATTTTATAAACATGAAATTCATTGTCCATATTCGTTTGCCTCAGGAGGACATTCTTTTAAAAAAAGGAGCGAATATGAGCCAACAAATCCAGTCAAACATGTGGGTGAAAATACCAGAGCTTGATCCTTCTTTATCCATCGAAGAACAATTGCTGCACCATAAAAGAACAGTATTTATAGAAAAGCAAGACAATGACACAACTAAGAATTGCAAATGACATTAATGTCCTTTGGCCAGCGGTAGGAAAATCCAATCGAAAATTTGTGGGAACTGAGTTCAGAAATCAAACAAATTGAAGAAAATTTGTGAAGAAGAATGGATCAAAATACCAATAATATCACTGATTCGTTGAATTTTAAGCAAACAGAGGCTACTGTACTAAATATTATTAGTAAAGTGTGTTAAATACTTTTGCATATGGGTTATTTTATTTATTGTTAATAAATGTTTCTCAAAACAGTGGTTTTAAATTTTCCTTCTATGTTTTGATTGACAATGTTCGTTTAAATATTTCCTATAAGTTTCGTTAAAATTGATCTGTTATTTTTTTAGATATGTAAGAAAAGCCAATGTGTTTAAATACTTTTGCTACCCACTGTATATATATATATATATATATATATATATATATATATATATATATATATATATATATACACGTGTGTGTGTGTGTATTTGGGCAGCACTACCTCTTTTATTGCATTAAAAACGACTGTCTGCGGTTAAGTTTTCTTATAATTTTCTTCTTTTCTAAATGTAGCAATTTTCCAAATGTTTTGTATATCCGAGTGCATTCAAATATATTCTTAGTCATTATCAAGAATTAATTTTTACTTTTAACTAACTCCATGAATTATTTTATGTATGTATCTAGAGTTAGAGGAATGTTTTATTTTCCACACATGGTCAGCATATTGTGGCCGTGTTCATAGTTAATATTATTGAGTGTTGGCTTTTTCTTTTTATGAATAATTCTTTCATTATTTTTAGTCTATTTTTACATGTTGATGAGGCTCTTATATTTGTTTTATCAGCGAGTATGTTGTGGATATTGGTATGTCGCCATGTGTATTTAAATGAGACCTAATGGTCAGAAAGAGATGTAATGTTACATCTTGATAATGGCTAGAAGTATAGCCGAAAGCGATCGGACATAGAAAACATTTGGACAATTTCAATATAATTTACGTCCAGAAAAGAGGAAAATTATGAGAACAGATGAAAAATTGAATAAAAAACTTAACCGCAGTACCTTCGTTTTGGTTGGTTTGTTTTGCGGCATATCAACTTCAATGGATTATTTAATGCCGACATTTTTTTTTGTTTCTTTTTTTTTTTTTTTTTTTTTTTTTTTTTTTTTGGCAATATTTTTTTTTTTTCAAAAATGTATAATTTTTTCCTTAAAAATATATTGCTGGTATTTTTTTTTTATTTAAAAACTTATTGCTGGAAGCAATTTTTCCCAAAAATGCATTGCTGGTATTAAAACCTATTTTTACACTTTCATAGTGTTTTGACCCCAGTTTGGGAGTTAACTAATTTGCCCATAGTTGGGACCCTAACAGGTGCTACCACTCCGGGTCAGGATGGATCTGGGAACACCAGCAATTAAGAGGTCCATGCTCCTCAATCCTCCTGATCAGGGGCCTTGCGCCCAGGATGCAGATGTAGTCTATCGTCATAATACTTAACTGGTGAGAAAGCATGGGCTGCTTTCTCACGCAACAGAAATAATAATAATATCTAAAAGTGATATCCAAGACAAAATTTTAAGATCCCTTTTAAGTAAATGTCAGTTAAAATTGTACTGTTTATTGATGTTTCACTATTTAAACTTTTTTACCTTTCATCTTCCTTAGAATATTTTTTATTACTCACCTTTGTTTTTTCAACTATTCTTTACAGTATTTTTATAGCCTTAACGATGTGACAATTTGTTCTGTCCACCAAACCGGTTCGCACCTATTAGCGAATCGTGTTAGGACAGCAGTCAATGTGCCGCAAAATAGGGAATGGTATGCGCTAAGATCAAAAAACAACATCGACCTGTTGTATTGTCCTGGGATTGTCTGCCTTGACTTATCGTACAGATTCGTGTATAAGTCGAAACTTTGAAACGATATTCTGCATTAGATTAAAACAAACTTTTGAGTAATTTTACAATTGCATTGGATATATTTTCTATAGCAAAAATCTAGGATATATATGTATACAGTTAATCCATTTTGTCGCATGTAAGAAATAATTTTGCTTCTTAAATCATTAAAAGTAAAATGAAATATCCAGAGAAAGCTACAACGAAAGAAAAGAATAAAAAGCTATGTATTCTTGTTGGCTTGCTGATTCTCACTTGTTACTAATGAGATACTCCGTTGTTATGGTAAAAAGATATGTTTGTTTACTTGTGTCAAGTAATGTCTCTGATTTTCATAAGAACAGAATTTAATTAGTAAGTAGAGTGAACCAGGCTGCGTATCTGATAAAGTCATATTGTTTTATATTATAGAATATTATTGTATTTAAATTAATACTCTCACTTTATCAAATGGAATAAATAGAATATTTTGTTTGGATTTGCTATATTTCAATGTAAAATGATATAATAAATGGTATGCAGTTTGATTTCTGAAGTCGGTGGATTCGGCTCAACGATAGATGAAGAAGGAACAGGGTACCTCGTTGTACATTCATAACACGTCAGTCGTGCAAATTAGTGCTATTGTGTAATAAATGAGTTCAATCCTCACTGTTCGACTATCGGCAGTTTTCTGCTCATACTAATAAATAACTATGGTATAAATAATATAATGTCTAGCTACTAACATCATTTCTTCTTTTCGGGGTCATCATTCCCCACATCATTTCATTGATACAATTTATATATATATATATATATATATATATATATATATATATATATATATATATTAAGCGTTTCACCCCAAGCATAGCAGGAAGCAACTAGGACGCAAGGGGTTACAGAAAAATGGAGCAAAATCAGGTAGGAGTGATAGAAGAAAGGATGAGGAGAAGGGTAGTGGATAGATCAAGGTAACTGGAGATGTCGATTTACATTACATTTGAATAGCTGGAGATTATAGCTCTCAGGGAAACTAGAATAGGGAAGGGAGTTCCACAGGCGAGAGGACCTGCATAATCGATTGTTATTGGTCAGCTATCACCAACGAAACATGAAATGATTATCTTTCTTCCGGTATTGTCCTGACGATATGGTCTAGAATATGCTAAATGCTTTTCTTTCTTCATGTTTATTTTTTCTAGGTCAGCTGATAGTTGATTCTTTATGTTGTGCTAGACATTTTATTTTCGCACCAGAATCTTTCTTCGTTTTTATTATTATTATTATTAATCATTTTATCCCAAACAAGGTGATAATGCCACTAAGATGCAATGGACTCTTACTGGAAGTGAAAGAGAATTAAAAAGACTTTAGAAGGAACCGGAAATCAGATTATAAACAGGAAATAAGTTCTATTCCTGTTCAAAAGACTCAGGAAAGTGCATGAACCCGACGATAAATTAACTTGCATATTTATATATATACAATTGTCCCATGTATTGAATATTGCAGTCATATCTGGTCTGATGCTTCTCTTGTACATGCAGAGATTCTTAATAAAATCCAAAGAAAAATCTGCAATATTATAGGTTCTGACCTGGCCTCTCTTTTTTCCTGTCGCCGTAACTGTGCTTTTTCTATAAATATTTTCATTATCTGTCTATATTTCTGAGATGAGGTATTATATACATTATTTAGATTATTCGGACTATTTTCCTAATTTTTGTCGCCATATTTATTACAACGTTTCGGCAGTTGTAAGTTTTGGCCTTCTTCAGGTGGTTGGAATGTCGAACTGAACCCTTTATTTCGCTAACTGGCGTAGACTGTTCTAGTTCCACGTGCCATGTTTAATGGATGTCAGTTATCAGTTATCTTCTGTTAATTTCTCTCTGAAAGTTCTCCACTGCCTTAACCGGGTATTGAACTCACACTCTTTTGGACCTGTCACTGGATCTAACTAACGCCTTTATCCACTGTGCCATGTATCCCAAAGAGTGTGAGTTTAATACCCCGTTAAGGCAGTGGAGAACTAGGAGAGGGGAATTAACAGGAGATAACTGACATCCATTAAACATGGCACGTGGAACTAGAATGGACTTTAAAGAAAATTGATAACCATATCTCTACCCACCAAGACGTAGGCTTTGCAAAACATTTTTATTTTTATACTTTTAAATAATCTTGCCTGCAAGTCATCACCAGCAAATATATTACGTACTTAAATATGATTTATATGCATACTTATATGCATATACAGGATGCCCTACAAAAAAAAACAGAAAATTTGGTACAGTTTATTTACTTGTTGGAATTTTTGTTACAGTCATTTGAAACAAAAGCAAACGATAGAAATTTCGGAGCTTAAAACATAACAAAAACACACATGTTAGATGTTCGAACTAAAGAACCCTGTCAAAATTGCTGAGATGTTCTTTGTTAAAGAGACCATCACCTCACATTGAAAATTTGATAACTAGTATCCTGGAACATTTTTTTTATTCATATAGTAAAATATATAGTTAATTTTTTAAAATGTTAATTTTTTTTCACATATAGTAAATCAAAACTTTCGTGGTTTTGTGGGGTATCCTGTATATATATATATATATATATATATATATATATATATATAGAGAGAGAGAGAGAGAGAGAGAGACAGACAGACAGACAGACAGACAGACAGACAGAGAGACAGAGAGACAGAGACAGACAGACAGACAGATAATGATTATTTTAATATCTATATTCGACTAGTATAAAAAAAAAACGGATAGTACAATTTGCCAATATAAGTATATATATCGTTTCTTTCCTGTGGGTTCTTACTTTGAAAAGGAAAAAAAATCGTAAGGAGCGAGATATGGAGAATATGATAGTTGTCTTGGACCAAAACTGCTGCACAAAACATGATCACTGATGGAACCTCTGTAGTGTGACGAGACGACCACACTCTACACTCCTCCCTTCTAATCACAGCTATAAACAACGGAAGTCCGGGATAGCGTTATAACTTAATGCGTATGCGCGACAAAGTTCAAAGTCAATCTGTACCAAGCGTTTCCACTCTGCATAGTTTTAGCTACGTTACCATAGCAACTGTCTCGATACTTTTTTACAAACTTTTATATATATATATATATATATATATATATATATATATATATATATATATATATATATATATATATATGGGGTGTGTAGGGAGTTTTTTAATGTGTGTACTTGAAATTGTTATGTGTATATTTGGATTTACTTGATCACATTTACAAAAAAATGGGTTAATCCAACAGAATATGTTTACATTCAAACTTGCAATTAAAACTTTCCATCCTTAACCCATTCAATTCTAATGGGATGTCGAATGAAATCTCTCTTCATAATTGTCACAGCTAAAAGTAAAGAAAATACCTTTGTGTCTAAACCGTAGTGTGTATTCAGAATCTCATTAGTAAAATAATAAATGCTTGTGGCTCGAAGATGGATCAAAACGATTCATCCGTTTTTGCATTGTATTTTTATTTACTTCAACCTCCTTCTCTTTTTTCTTTTCCTTCTTCTTTCTTCTTCTTTCTTCTTCTTTCTTCTTCTTTATTCTTATTCGTCTTCTTTCTTTTTCTTTTTCTTCTGCTTCTTCTTTCGTCTTTCTTCTTCTCTTTCTTCTTTTTTCATCTTCCTTCTTGTCTTTCTTCTTCGTCTTTCTACTTTTCTTCTTCTGCTGTTTCTTTCTTCTTTTTTCTTCTTCTTCATTATTTTTTCCTTTTTTCCACCTTTCTTCTTTCTTTCTTCTTTTTCTTCGTCTTTCTACTTTTCTTCTGCTTCTTCTTTCTTCTCTTTCTTCTTCTTTCTTTTTCCTTCTTTCTCCTTTCTTCTTCTTCTTCTTTTTTTATTCTTTATTCTTTTTTGTCTTCTTTCTTTTTCTTCTTTCTTCTTCTCCTTATTTTTCTTCTTCTTGTCTCTTCTTCTTCCTCTTTCTTCTCCTTCTTTTTCTTTCTTCGTCTTTCTACTTTTCTTCCTCTTCTGCTTCTTTCTTCTTTCGTCTTTTCTTTCTTTTTCCTTCTTTCTACTTTTTCTTTCTTTTTCTTCTTCTTTCTTCTTCTTTTTTCTTTTTCGTTTTCTTTCTTTTTCTTCTTCTATTTTTACTTCTTTCTTTTTCTTCTTTCTTCCTTCCTCTTCTTCCTTCTTCTTCCTCTTCTTCTTCTTCAAATTTGTTTGAATCTGCTCTTCTTCCTTCGATAGCTTCTCTTATATGCGGGCCTCTGGTGCACAATCATAATTTAACGTTTTCCTAAAACCCGTGAAATTGTTTGCAAAGAACTGGCATTGTCGTCCTTTTTATTGTTTTACGTGTTTTTCACGTCCGATTGACAATATTTTACTTACCACGATTGAAAATTTGGATTGCCTTTAAAAAAGCCAACCTCAGCTTGAAATTATATTTTGTTAGATTTTCTTATGCAAAGCAGTTCTTCCACAATAAAACTGGTTTTACTCAAACTGGTATTAGTAGTATATTATTTACATTTGCATTATAAGTATACGTCGCCAATTTCAACTTATATCAGTTTATCTTTACACTGACTATTTTGATGGTATTTTATTTAGATTTTATTATGCAACTCGTGGAAATATTACCATGAAGAAGATATAACCTGAAAGAAGAAATAAAATACAGTAAATTTATTAAAAGGTACAAATACATCGATATAAATTCCGAAAAAGGTAAACAGAAATCTCAGAATAATCCAAGAAGGTTTGGTTTGGTTTGGTTTGTTTTACGGCACATCAACTTTAATGGGTTATTTAATGCCGACAAAATTTTTATTGCTGGTAATATTTTTTTCCTTCAAAAATCTATTTCTTGTAATTTTTTTTCTTCAGAAATGTGTCACTGGTTATTTTTTTTTTTCAAAAATGTATTGCTCGTAATTTTTTCCAAAAATATATTACTGTTAATATTTTTTTCCCAATATGTATTGCTGGTAATTTTTTTTTTTTTTTCAAAAATGTATTGCTGGTAATAATTTTTTTACAAAAATATATTTCTGGTATTAAACCCTAATTTTACATTTTCATAGTCTTTTGACCCCAGTTTAGGAGTTAACTATTTGCCCATAGCTAGGAACCTAACACCTCGGGAGAGGGTGGACCTGGGAACACCAGCAATTAAGAGGTGGTTCCACAGTCGTCAAAACCTCCTGATCATGGGCCTTGCTGTTGGACGTAGTTTATCGTCTTACCCAGAATGCAGATGTAGTTTATCGTCTTACCCAGGACGGAATCTTAGAAGGAACTGAAAATATTGAAAACTAAGAATTGATTTAAAAAAAAAATAGCGTTCAGAATGCCAGAAAATTTTCAGAAAGTTTATAAAAGTTAATTAAGAAATATGGAGTAATGAACAAGAAAATGTTAGAAGAAATTGGAGTTGCAATGTAAGGAGAAAGAAAAAGGTGCGTAATAAGAAGTATAAAAGTGTATAGACAGCAAAGCAAACTATTGCTTTTAAGTAAACATGACAAATCCGAGGCATTCATGGAAATAAGCCAATCAAAATGACTTAGAAGACAACAGGAGGAGAGGGAGTAACGTTTGGGGTTAGTATTG